AGTTTATGTTAATGGGTGTGTTGTCGCGGGAGGAGCAAATGACAGACACAGGTTTATTAACAGAAAATAAACAAAGTGTCCAGAAAAAAGGGAATCAAGTGTCCAAAATAAACAGGGGATCTGGTGTCCTCGTCGTGCTGCGGGTTTCGTGCAGGGACGGACAGTGGTCAGGAAGGAATGAAGGAAGGGTCCAGGTAAGGGGTGGAGTCCGGTGGCCGCACGCGCTCCCCTCTCCGGTCCGGGGCGCGAGGGGCGGCAGCTTCTATCAGCGACTTCGTCCTTCTCTCTGCCCACAGCGCTTGACGGGACTAGATGGCCCAGCATCCTTGCCCGACGGCCGTGTACCGGGTGCGGTTCTCATCCGGACTGCGGGTCCGGCAGCTCACGACTCTGGCGGCACGGGAGTCCCTCTACACACCCCTCCTGGACGCACGAGGACACCAGCGTGCATGCACGGGGAAGAGACCAGTCTCCCGAGGAGAGGCGCGCTCGGCATTTAAACAGCAGCGGCTATGAGGCTCCATTCGGTTCAGGTGTGCCCCATCACACGCCGCCAGCCCTGGCTATTTCAACATCAATGTGTTGTCACGAGCCGCAGGGTTTAATTTGGATTTGTCTGTGCATGTTTTTTTTTACACTCATAGATTGTGTTACCATTGCCATGCATTATACGCTGATAGACTGCAACGGTTGGACTTAAAAATCATCAAATGTGTTCAACTGAAGAAACAAAGTCACCTACATCTTGGATGCCCTGGGGGTAAGCAGATAAACATCAAATTTTCTTTTTTGGGTGAACTATCCCTTTAATGGTGTTTTGACCAATTAGACATTGTCTTAGCTTGGAGTGTTGCTAGGTTTCTCCTCCCTATACACTGAGAAAAATGTTTCATTCATCCAATTAAAAAAATGTAGGGTAATGATTCACATCTATATTTTTTTAACTTGAGCCAATGAAAAATAAATAACTTGACCTTAGCGCATACAGCCTAAATCGACATGTTATCATGTTAGTCACATGGTCTGAGTTTTCCTGCTCTTGCATAATATAATATTACACAATTTCGCAATAATTGATTGATAGAAACATTTTAAGTCACAAACTACACGTACATATCAAACTCTAATATAAACCTATAAACTATTTAAAGAGCAGGTCATATGGCATTTTAAAGTGTCCTAATATTGTGTTGCAGTCCCCTACAACAGATTTAAATGGTCAGAATACATTGCAATTTTCTCAGAATATACATTTAATATTAGAATCATTGTTCAATGATTACGAAACGATTAGTTCGAAGCAGTTCTGAGCTTAAAGTCTGTAAACGCCTCCCTTCCATAAGCCTACTCTGCTCTGATTGGTCAGCTGGCCAAGTCTGTTGTGATTGGTCTTTTCTTATACAATGAGTGTCGGAAACGAAACGCCCATTGTCAGAGGATGGGTGAGTGGAAGAAGCAAGGACTCAAGGTGCAGGAAGAATGGGTCTTTTATTAATAAAATAAAACAAAACCACAACAAAAACTACCCCGAGGGGGAAAAACAGGTAGGCAGGCAGGACAGGACTTTAGTTAACATGAACTAAGCATGAACAATACTTCTACAGCATTTATTCATATTAGTTAATGTTAATCTCAACATTTATTAATACATTATTAAAATCAAAAGTTGTATTTGTCAACATTAGTTAATGCACTAACATGAACTAACAGTGAACAACTGTATTTTCATTAACTAACATTAACAAAGATGAATAAATACTGTGATAAATGTATTGCTCATTGTTTAGTCATGTTAGTCAATACATTAACTAACATTAACTAATGGAACGTCTCGGTTACGTATGGTAACCCTCGTTCCCTGAAGGAGGGATCGGAGACGTCACTTCGGTGACCGACGAATTCGGATATCGCTTCGATAGACCAATCTACTTCGAGCGTAAACTAAACGAGCCAATGCACATTGGCATGCAATTATTGCATCCAGCTGCTGCTGATCACAGTGTGAGTATAATAAGGCAGCACGTGCAATGCATACCAGGTTTTTGCTGAGGAGCTGAGCCGGCGACCCGGCCGCTCAGTGGTGGTACAGCAACCGTGGCGACGGGACGTGACGTCTCCGTTCCCTCCTTCATGGAACGAGGGTTACCATATGTAACCGAGACGTTCCCTTTCAGTTGGTCACTCCGAGTCACGTTGGTGACCGACGAATTGGGAGCCCTACCAAAGCGCCATGGTGC